GGGTTCAGGCAATTCTCCTGCCTCAGCCTCCTGAGTCGCTGGGATTACAGGCACGCGCCACCATGCCCAGCTAATTTTTTGTATTTTTAGTAGAGACGGGGTTTCACCGCGTTGACCAGGATGGTCTCGATCTCTTGACCTCGTGATCCACCCGCCTTGGCCTCCCAAAGTGCTGGGATTACAGGTGTGAGCCACTGCGCCCGGCCCTATTTTTATTTTTATTATTTTTTTTAAGATGGGATTTCACCATGTTGGATAGGCTGGTCTTGAACTCCCGACTTCAGGTGATTCGCCCGCCTTGACCTCCAAAGTGCTTGAATTACAGGCGTGAACCACCACACCCAGCCTGTCTGAAAAATATTTAATGGAGGAATGGAGCCATTATTTATACAAAACACATCATATTTTAACTCATCCGCAGTTTTGGTTTCTAAAAGTTATGTTTATTCGTGACTGCAGTTGATCAGCCTAGACTGATTTTTATCAGCATGCTTTCTGGTCAGTGTGAATATAGAGGAAACAGAGGTAGCTATTGATCCTTTGTGATCTTTTCATATTTGAGTCTGCTAGAACTCTATAGTTTTTAAAAGTCCCAGGTGTCAACATTTGAGATGATTTTAAGGGCAGTCAAAAGTGATCATGCTGAAGTATTGCACTTAAGTCTTTTTCCTGTATATTAGAGTTACTAGATTACTTTTTAAAAACAGATAAGTTTATTATAATATCTTTTTCTGTTTTGGTACCCAGTTTTGATTTCCTTTCAAGTTTGTGACCCTTTCCCCCCCATCTAAATATTCTTGATAAATGATTGATATAAGATAGCTGTAAGTTTCTGTTATCTTAGAGGATTTGTGGTTTTGAAAGTACTCTTTGTTTAACTTAAGGATGACCAGATCATCAACTGGCTGCTAGAATTTCGTTCTTCTATCATGTACTTGACAAAAGACTTTGAGCAGCTTATCAGTATTATATTGGTAAGTTCACCATTTATTTCACTGACCAGTATGTAATTGAGTACTTTGGAAATAGTATATATTATATTAATAACATGCTGCTTTTATCTTTCTTCCCCAACTCTAGAGATTGCCTTGGTTGAACAGAAGTCAAACAGTAGTGGAAGAGTATTTGGCTTTTCTGGGTAATCTTGTATCAGCACAGACTGTTTTCCTCAGACCATGTCTCAGCATGATTGCTTCCCATTTTGTGCCTCGTAAGTCACCACTCTTTGCTTGCTTGGAATCTTCTCTCTCTTTCTGTCTCTTTTTTAAATACTTCTTTATTAAAATACTACCTTCCCCTTATACATGAGAGATATTGCTACCATAGAAGATTCCAGATGCGGCTGGGCGCAGTGGCTCACACCTGTAATCCCAGCACTTTGGGAGGCCGAGGCAGGTGGATCACAAGGTCAGAGGTTTGAGAGCAGCCTGGCCAACATGCTGAAATGCTGTCTTTATTAAAAATACAAAAATTAGCCGGGCTTGGTGGCAGGCGCCTGTAATCCCAGCTACTCGGGAGGCCGCGGTAGGAGAATCGCATGAACCTGAGAGGCAGAGGTTTCAGTGAGCCAAGATTGTGCCACTGCACTCTCGTCTGGGTGACAGAGCGAGACTTTGTCTCAAAAAAATAAAAAAGATTCCAGATGCATATTGGTACCAGATTTGGTAGACATATGTTTCCCATAATAACCCCTGTGGTGGTGTCTAGATTCATTTGTTGCTCTGATTTTTATGAATTGTAATTTGCTTTTTTGAACTTCTGATGAAGTCTTAGAACCCGTCTAGGAATTTTTAGCTGCTTAAAAACTTTTTTACAGATGGTACATTTAATTAGTCATTGTGCTGACTTTGGATTATGGAAAAATAGCTTTTTTGTATAGCTGTTCATTGTCTAGGCCAATGACAGAATAACATATTTTCTTTTTCCCTCAAAAGCCCGAGTGATCATTAAGGAAGGCGACGTAGATGTTTCAGATTCTGATGATGAAGATGATAGTAAGTATAAAAAGGTTTAAAGCCTGGGCACAGTGGCTTTCACCCACAATCCGAGCAACTTGGGTGGCTAAGACGGGAGGATCACTTGAGGCCAAAAGTTTGAGACCCACCTCAAGGCAACATAGTAAGACCTTGTCTCTACAAAAAAAAAAAAAAAATTTTTTTCAAATATTTTTTAAATAAGAGGCTTAAAGTAGAATTAGGCAGGGTGGCGTGTGTCTGTAGTCACAGCTACCTAAGTGGCTTAGGTGGGTTTAATGCTTGAGCCCAGGAGTTCAAGTCCTGCCTTGGCAACATAGCAAGACCCTGTCTCTCGAAGTAAAGCACAGAATACGTCCTGTTTCTTAGAAAATGCATGATGAATGAGAAAATATGCTGGCACCTATTCTAATAAGTAGACTACAACAAATGACAAAACCTTTGATATAATCTTTTCGTTATATTTAGCATTGATATACAGTCATTTGTCCTGAATGCATTATTTATATAATTAGTCTGTTCAGTTTTCATTGATGGTTGTGGAGAAAAATCTTGAAATTATTATTTCTTTGATAAATTGTTCTATTTTGGTTAGCATGTGTTTTTACCTTCAAATATGTCACTTTTTTTCTTGTTGTTGTTTTGTTTTTTTGAGACAGAGTCTTACTCTGTTGCCCAGGCTGGAGTACAGTGGCACAATCTTGGCTCACTGCAGCCTCCACCTCCCAGGTTGAAGTGATTTTCCTGCTTCAGCCTCCAGAGTAGATGGGACTACAGGCATGTGCCACCATGCCTGGCTAATTTTTGTATTTTTTTTTTAGTAGAGACAAGGTTTCACCATGTTGGTCAGGCTGGTCTTGAACTCCTGACCTCAGGTGATCCCCCCACCTTGGCCTCCCACATGGCTGGAAATACAGGCATGAGCCACTGTGCCTAGCCAGCATATATCTTTAGCTTCACGTGTGTTACCTTTCTGTTTCATTTTGATCTTCATACTCTCAACTTTTTTCCTTGCAGACCTTCCTGCAAATTTTGACACATGTCACAGAGCCTTGCAAATAATAGCAAGATATGTACCATCGTGAGTATACTTTTGCTTATTTTGAATGCTTAATTCCCAATAAAATTGTAATCAATAAAATTATAAAATGTTAATAACATTAAAACTTGAGTCTTGGCCGGGCGCGGTGGCTCAAGCCTGTAATCCCAGCACCTTGGGAGGCCGAGGCGGGTGGATCACGAGGTCAAGAGATCGAGACCATCCTGGTCAACACGGTGAAACCCCGTCTCTACTAAAAATACAAAAAATTAGCTGGGCATGGGGTGCGTGCCTGTAATCCCAGCGACTCAGGAGGCTGAGGCAGGAGAATTGCCTGAACCCAGGAGGCGGAGGTTGTGGTGAGCCGAGATCGTGCCATTGCACTCCAGCCTGGGTAACGAGCGAAACTCCGTCCAAAAAAAAAAAATACTTGAGTCTTACATCACATTTTTTTTTGGTATCCAGTTGAAGAAACATTACATTCTACAAAAAGTGGCATTTCCGTTTTCTATTCATTGTCTTTAATTATTTTTCAAAGTTTGTATGCAGATTCTTCCCCAATTTTGTATGGTGGTTGGAATTTTGCTTTTATCTTCGACAGATATGCTCTCCAAAATTTTCAGTGAGAAACCCCTGTGTGTGTTTGTATCATGCCATATTAATAAAAATTGCACTTCTAAGAAATACTTTTCAGGTTTGTAGATTTCTTTTGGAGGGGTGGACTTAGCTCCCACTGCCCGTTGATTATTTGTTATCTTAAAAAAATCCAACATAATAATTTTTTCTTCTTTTAAAAATAATAAACATGTGTAGTGGGAAATTTCAGCTGAATTGCTATTATGCTTTTGTAGGAGAGAAACTCTCCCTTTGATTTGCTGTTGATGTCAGAGTTAACAGAAGCTTATTTTCCCTAAGTTGTTATAGATTTTCTCAGAAGCTATACCTTTTTTTTTTTAAGAGACGGGGTTTCACCATGTTAGCCGGGATGGCCTTGATCTCGTGAGCTCATTATCCTCCCTACTCGGCCTCCCAGAGTGCTGGGATTACAGGTGTGAGCCACCATGCCCAGCCAAGAAGTTCCAGTTCTGGCCGGGCATGGTGGCTTATGCCTATAATCCCAGCACTTGGGGAGGCTGAGGCAGGCAGATCAAAAACCTTGCCTCTCCTAAAAATACAAAAATCGGCCTGGCGTGGTGGCCCGTGCCTGTAATCCCAGCTACTCAGGAGGCTGAGACAGGAGAATTGCTTGAACCCAGGAGGCAGAGGTTTCAGTGAGCCAAGATCATGCCACTGCGCTCTAGCCTGGGCAAAAGGAGCAAAACTCTGTCTCAAAAAAAAAAAAAAGTTCCAGTTCTTTGAGGTAGGGGTTCCTATTTGCCTCCTATATCTATCCATGTTTGCTTTTAGAATGGTAGTATTACTTTTCTAGAAAGTAAAGTTAACATGGCTTGATTTAACTTTTTTAAATAGGACACCGTGGTTTCTTATGCCGATACTGGTTGAAAAATTTCCATTTGTTCGAAAATCAGAGAGAACACTGGTAAGAAATCTTTTCATTGAGAAAATCATGGGAAAGTTATTTGTGTGATTTCGTTTTAGATGATGTTAGGTCTTTTTCTGAAAGGTTATTTTGTCTTCTAGACTTTAAACTGATGTCTAAGAATTTAACTCAGATTCCTTTCTTACCAAGCGGCTCTTGGGGCTTCCCAGTGCCTTTTTCTCTTATTACTATGTGCAAGTCAAGGTCTGAGTCCATTTCAGAAATATCTGTAGAGGCTTCATGCTCATACAGATAAGAATTACTAGACAATAATAATTCATGTATTACTAATTGTAAACATGCTTTATTTTAAACTGAAAGGAAAGCCTTCTATAGATGAATTCTGCTTAGTTTTTGTACAATGTTTAGATCATCTGGGTAGTTTTTAATAATAATGGTTGGTTCCCTTACTAGAAAACTCAATCTCGCAGCATACGAAAAGAATTATATGCCAAGACCAAGTGCGATTTATGCTAGGAATGCAAGACTTTTTTTGGTTTGTTTGTTTGTTTGTTTGTTTTGAGACAGTCTTTCTCTGTCACCCAGGCTGGAGTGAGTGCAGTGGTGCAATCTCAGCTCACTGCAATCTCTGCCTCCGGGGTTCAAGCGACTCTCCCACTTCAGCCTCCCGAGTAGGTGGGACTACAGGCATGGGGCACAACACCCAGCTAATTTTTGCATTTTTGGTAGAGACAGGAGACAGGGTTTTGCCACATTGGCCAGGCTAGTCTTGAACTCCTGACCTCAAGTGATCCACTGCCCTCAACCTTGGAAAGTGTTGGGATTACAATTTCAAACCACCATGACCAGCCAAGATAGATTTAATACCTGAAAATCTATTAATATAATACTTTGTAGTAATAGAACAAAGGATAACAACCACATGATGATCTCAGTAGATGCAGAAGTGTTTAACAAACAACTATACCCTTTTGTGACAAAAACAAAAGGAAATTTTCTCAGCCTGATAAAGGGCATCTGAAAAACCCACAGATAACATCATATTCAATGGTAAAAGACCAAAAGTTTGTCCCTAAGATAAAGAAAAAAACAAGGATGTCCACTCTTGCTGCTTGTCTAGCCAAGGTAGTTAGGCAAGAAAAAGAATTAAAGGCATCCAGTTGGAAAGGAAGGCGTAAACTCTCTTTTGTAAGATTGTTTTATATGTCATCCTAAGAATCCCACAAATAAATTTTAGAGATAATAAAAAAAAAGTTCAGCATGGTTAGGGCACAGAAGACCAACATACACCAGCTGTCCAAGACAATTGAATAAGGGACAAGAATAGTCTTTTCCACAAATGCTGGTGGCACAAATGGTTATGCACATGCAGAAGAATGAGGTACATGGATATCCATATACAGAAATGAACTCAAAATCAATAAAAGCCCTACATGAAGAGTAAAAACTATAAAACGCTTAGAAGAAAATGGGTACATTTTCATGATGTTGGATTAGGCAATAATTTCCAGATTTGACGGCTGGAGCACAAGCAACCAAAGAAAAACTACATCATTTGTACTTCAGAATTAAAAATTGTATGCTTTATAGGATACCTTCAAGAAGAGGAGAACAATCCTCAAATAATGGGAGAAAATGTTTCTAAATTATATGTCTGGTAATGGACTTGTACATGTAAATAACTTTTGTAATTCAATAGTAAATGGGCAAAGGATCCGAAAAGCCATTTCTGCAATAAAAGCACATGAAAAGAAGCTCAACATCATTAGTCATCAGGGAAATGGTTTCACTCATGCCCACAAGGATGACTGTAATAAAGACGAGACAGTAACAAGTGTTGACAAGGATGTTGAGAAATGGGAACATGGGAATTGTCATACATTGCCTGTGAGAATGTAAAATGGTGCAGCCGTTTTGAAAAATAGCCTGGCATTTCTTCAAGGTAGAATTACTATGTGACTCAGCAGTTCCACTGCTGGGTTTTGTTTTTTTTGTTTTTGTTTGTTTGTTTGTTTGGTCCTAAGCATCAGCAAACTGCTGCGTTTTTACAAGAGAAATGAAAATACATTTCCACGGCCAGGCGCTGTGGCTCACGCCTATAATCCCAGCACTTTGGGCGGCCGAGGCGCGTGGATCACGAGGTCAAGAGATCGAGACCATCCTGGTCAACATATTGAAACCCCGTCTCTACTAAAAATACAAAAAATTAGCTGGGCATAGTGGCACATGCCTGTAGTCCCAGCTACTCAGGAGGCTGAGGCAGGAGAATTGCTCAAACCCAGGAGGCAGAGGTTGTGGTGAGCCGAGATTGTGCCATTGCACTCCAGCCTGGGCAACAAGAGTGAAAGTCCATCAAAAAAAAAAAAAAAAAAAGAAAATAACATTTCCACAGAAAAACTTGTGAGTACATGGATATTCGTAGCAGTTCCATTCATAATGGCCTCATTTAGAAGCAACTCAAATGTCTGACAACTGGTGAAGAGATGACAAAACATGTTAGCTAGGATGGTCTCGATCTCCTGACTTTGTGATCCGTCTGCCTTGGCCTCCCAAAGTACTGGGACTACAGGCATGAGCCACTGCACCCAGCCCAAGACCCTGTCTCTTAAAGAAAAATAAATGTTCTGAAATTATGTTGATGGTCACATAACTGAATATATTAAAAATTTAAATTGCATACTTTATGTTGGTAATTGTATGATATGAGTTGATTTTTTCTTTTTTTAGTGAAAATTACAAAAACCAGATGTGAGTTTTATTAATACAGCTATTTAAAAAAACTGTAGTTATGCAAATTTAAAATTTCATTTACAGGGGATTATTGAAATGATTGTACCAAACATAATACATATGTAGAAACAGTACAGTTTTTATATTGCTGGATAGTCTGTTTTTTATGTTTAAATATTTGAAACTAAAGGTACTATAATTGATGTTTTGCCTACATAACTATGAAAAATATTTATTCTCTGTTGAAATGTTTTATGTTTTCTGTTTTAGGAATGTTATGTTCATAACTTACTAAGGATTAGTGTTTATTTTCCAACCTTGAGGCATGAAATTCTGGAGCTTATTATTGAAAAGTTACTCAAGTTAGATGTAAGTACTGAGTAATCTATTTTTATTTTCATTAACTGACTTGAATTTGGTATAATCACAGTATGTAGAAGCAATAGTGATAGAAAAGAATCCACTTGCCCCATTCATTGCTTCCTTTCTTTGCATGTGTCTTGAGCTCCATCTGTGTATGTGCTGGGAGTTATAAACAGTTCTTTCTCATGATTGGGGAACAAGGCATTAAGTAGACACCAAGATGTCAAAGTACAGTTGTGAAGAGTGCTGTGAATGCAACATACATTTCGAGTTAAACAACTTGAGAGAATCGCAGTGGGGCCAAGAAGGCATTCCAAAGGAAGTGATTTTTCCTGCTTGGCCTTTTTTAACAAGTACAGACTTTAATTGTAAACAGCTAAAACTTTGTTTAAGGAGGCCCGCACTAAGGTGCAGTAGGAATGAAAGGAAGTGGTTCTAGTAACATTGTGAGGAAAAGTGACCTGGTGCTTGAGACTGGTTTGGAGGAGGAGGGGCAGACAGCGAGGGAAAGGAATCCTTCAAAGATGGCTCCCTGTGGAATAGAATCTTGGTGCTGCCATTAATGGCAGTTAGAAATCTCAGTAGGAGGCTGTTGGGAGAGGAGTTCCATCTTGGCAGGTTGAGTTGCTGGTGGGCGGCCTACCAGAGAATATGCACAGACAGTCGTGACTGGAGGTAGGGACCTGAGCATAAACCTGTGGAAAGACACAGTTTAGGACAAGGGAGGAGAAGGGTGATCAGAGGTGTGAGGAAAACCAAGAGTCTGGATGCCCAGGAAGGATGTGCAGGAAGGAGGAGTTTGGTCAGCAGCATCAGATACCGCTGTCATTTTTTAGAAGGATGAAAAGAGCAACAGTCCTTGGATTTAGTGGTTAGAAGGTAGTCTTTGTTCCTTTCTGGAGAAGCATGTCAGTGAAGAGGCAGAAGCTGCATTTCAGGAGAGGATGTGGATGGTGGGGAAGCAGAAGTGGGACTGTTAGAGACCTTGGTGCAGGGTTGTGGTAGGAGTTGCGGAGCAGGGATAGGGGCCTGCGTGGTTCAGGAGTCAGGAGACAGCAGGTTTGTGGACTGAGTGGAGAGGAGCTTTGGTGGAGGGAAGCACTGATGCTGTAGGGAAGCAGGAAGATGGAATGAGGTCTTAGAGGAGCTGGAGCTTGGGCCCACTGGTGCATTGCTCACTTGGAGTTGCACCTCTCTGGCCAACTCTGTGTCTTTTCTTTTAAGTTTTTCTCTGGTATATATTTAAACAACATTTTAGAATGTTTACAAAGAAGGTCAAGCATAGATAATTTAAAAAGGCGTGGTTTGAGTGATATTAAGATATTTGAAGGGTGATATACCAAAATAAAAATAATTTACATTCAGGTTGCAGTTCATCATTTTTCTGCTCAGTTGATGGACGATATGTTTATTTTACACAATGTGCCTGTGACTGTCTTGTGCATATTTTATTAGCCCATTTTCATGCTGCTGATAAAGACATACCTGAGCCTGGGAAGAAAAAGAGGTTTAATTAGACTTATAGTTTCACATGGGTGGGGAGGTCTCAGAATCATGGTGAGAGATGAAAGGCACTTCTTACATGGTGGCGGCAAGAGAAAATGAGGAAGATGTAAAAGCAGAAACCCCTGATAAAGTCATCAGATCCCATGAGACTTATTCACTACCCCGAGAACAGTATAGGGGAAACAGACTTCATGATTCAAATTATGTCCCACTGAGTCCCTCCCACAACACACAGGAATTACAGGAGTACAATTCAAGTTGAGATTTGAGTGGGGACACAGAGCCAGACCATATCAGAGATAGAACAAATGTTGAATTTGTTGAGGCTGTCTGGCATAGAGCATCATGTGATAGTTGTTGATTTTATGTAAGTATGCAGTAAAAGGGGCTTGGTTTATAAAATTTAAATTCCTTCATGACCTAGGTCAGTTTACAGGCTTGCACCATAATTGTGTATTGTGTTGGAGTGCGATATATACTCATCTGGACACCTCGAATGTGTGTATATCAGATGAATTTCCGGTCCCAAAATAACATAGTTGTATTTTAAAAATCCTTTTATTTTTTCCCCCCTCTGTTATAGGTGAGTGCATCCCGGCAGGATATTGAAGATGCTGAGGAAACAGCAGCACAACCTTGTGGTGGGACAGATTCCACAGAAGGATTGTTTAATATGGTTAGCATTTTCTCAGTGAAAGCACACATACAGTTTATCATTTCAAAGGGTGGAAATCTCTAGTGCTGCTCATCTTTGTTACAGCTTTAGATTGAAATAATTAAAATAGTTTAGCAAACTTGAAAACAATTCCTTATATGAGTCATTTTCTGCCATGTCATTTAGCACTTGGTATATTGGTTTATTTCTGGGGCTTTCAATTTGGGTTTGGTGAACTACGTTTCACTTTCGTGCTTATAACTTTCAGTGTTTGTTTTTGTGAGCCAGATACTGTTTGTGAAGCTGTCGTATATAGAAAAGCATACCTGTTTAATTTCTACATTTTACCACTTCTCCACTTCATAGCAGTACTACTTTGGGTGGTGTCTGTGAGATAGGGATTCAGGGTGCCCTTGAAACAGAGGATGTCAGGGAGCAGAAAAGGGCAGGGGAAATAAGCTAGGGCTGGGTCTCACTTGGGAGGTCGCTACAGGCACTCTGGGGCATGGATTGCTCTACAGAGCTTGGTGTCAGTTTGAGACCAAGGAGATATCCTTTCTGACACCTTGCCAATCAGTCATTGGTTCTAGGGGGAGGGTCGGGAAAGAATGCGAGGGTGGTCCTGGCTCCTTTCTGCTCAGGGCAGCTCTCTGGGTAAGGTGGGCAGCTCTCTGGGTAAGGTAGGCAGCTGTGAGCTGTTGGCTGTCGGTACTCACAGCTGCAGGGAGATGGATATCCTGACCTGGAAAAGGGGGCCTGGCTCCAACAGTGCCCACCAGGAGCAGAGGTGGGGGGCACCTGTAATGTTTGCATGGCTAGCTCTCATTGGGTCTTCTAAATGAGAACCAGAAGCTGGTGCTCTGAGTCTTGGCTTTTATTTTAAATTTCACAGGTGGTTCTGCTTGACATCCCTGAATGAGATCCTGGAACGATGTCTGCATTTCTTTCTTTCTTTCTTCCTTTCTTTCCTTCTTTTCTTTTCTTTCTTTTCTTTTCTTTTTCTTTTTCTTTTTCTTTTTCTTTTTCTTTTTCTTTTTCTTTTTCTTTTTTCTAATTTGAGACACAGTGTTGCTCTGTCGCCCAGGCTGGAGTGCAGTGATGTGATCTTGGCTCACTGCAGCTTCGACCTTCTGGGCTCAAGTGATCTGCCTACCTCAGCCTCTCAAGTAGCTGGGACTACTGTGCCACCACACCTGGCTACTTTTAAAATATTTTTTTAGAGATGGGTCTCCCTATATTGCTCAGGCTGGTCTCAGGCTACTGACCTCAAGTGATCCTCCCTCCTTTCAAAGTGTTGGTAATTGTAGACGTGAGCCACTGCAGAGTGTTACTGTGTTACCCAGGCTGGAGTCCAGTGGCATGAACTAGGCTCACTGCAGCCTCCTCCACCTCCCAGGTTCAAGCTGTTTTCTTGCCTCTGCTTCCCAAGTAACTGGAATTACAGGTGTATACCACCATGCCGGGGTTTTACCATGTTGGTCAGGCTGGTCTTGAACACCCGACCTCAGGTGATCCTCCCGCTTCAGCCTCCCAAAGTGCTGGGATTATAAGTGTGAGCCACTGCGCCAAGCCTCTTTGTTTTATGTTTTAGGGGAAATGATCACTTAGGACGGTTTTTCTACTAAACCACTTTGACATTGAATTTTTTAATGTTAGCGTTTACTTTTTTTCTTTCAAGGATGAAGATGAAGAAACTGAACACGAAACAAGGGCTGATCCCGAACGGCTTGACCAAATGGTGCATCCTGTAGCCGAGCGCCTGGACATCCTGATGTCTTTGCTTTTGTCCTACATGAAGGATGTCTGCTATGTAGATGGTAAATCACCGTAGCGACTGTTTATTGAATACCTGCAACATACCTGAGTCTGTGCTGGGCATTTTCCATATATTATCATCTCTAGTACTAATAAAAATCCTGTAAAAAACCTCTCTTGAGTATGAGTTTTAAGATCGTTTAAGGAAGTCAAGTTACTTGCCAGTCACATAGCTTGAAAATGGGACTGGGATTCTGGATGAGTCATATTTGTCTTCGGTCTTTTCACTGATGTGTTAAAAGATTATATATGGAATTTGGTCAGGTTTAGTCAGATCAAATTATGCTTAGGTTGCTGAATGCATTTAAGCATGGTGTAGAGGGCACTAGTATATGGTGCTCTGTTATGTATTGAGTTTAGAGAGCCTTTGCTTGGCACCATTGTTGTGCCAGTATTGGTACTATATGTGCTTCTTACCTTCATGGAACTTTAATCTAAAACCTTTGCCAATGCGAAACAGAATTTCTTTCTTTTCACATTGCTAAGATTTAAGATGAGCTCAGTGAGTCAGAATAATAGAACTGGAATCTGAGTTGACTGCATTACCATTTTAACGATCTTGCTGTATTGTTGTAAAAATAATACACGTTGATTAGAGAAAATTTGGAAAGTACAGGAAAGGATAAAAACAATTTAAATGGCCACATTTCTGCTATTCAGAGAACCGTTAAGAGCATTTTGAAATTTGCCTTTTTTCCCTTTTTTGTTAGCATGTGTATATGTAGGAGTGTATTTTGTAGTGGATTTGGGGGGTCACACTAAACAAAAGTGTTTTATAATCTGCCCTTTACACGGATGGTGAAGGTGAACATTTTCTCCTATCATTGCCTATTTTAAAATAATTATCATTGAATTCCAACACATAGGCCAGGGTGGGAGGATCACCTGAGGCCAGGAGTTCAAGACTAGCCTGAGCAATATAACAAGACCCCATCTCTTAAAAAAACAACTGTAATAACAAATGTTATTGATCATATGGGTTTAACTGTCTCTTACTGTTTTCACCATTATAAGTAACAGTATAATGAACATTCTTATGCCTATATATTCAGTTGTTTGCTAGCAGTAGAATTATTGGATCCGAGGTCTTTTCCTACACGAATTGCAGAATTGCCCTTCAGAAGGGTTTGCATTTCTGACTTTGCCACAGTGTGTGAGGTGAGGGTCTGCTTCCTTGCATGGGTTAGATTATTACACTCGGAGGAAAATGTGTGCAAACTAAAAAGTAGCATTTTGTTTTAATCGTATTTTAATGAGTGTCGTTGTTGTTTTGTTGTTGTTGTTGAGACACAGTCTCACTCTGTTGCGCAGGTTGGAGTGCAGTGGCATGGTCTTGGCTCACTGCAACCTCCTTCTCCTGGGTTCAAGCGATTCTCCTGCCTCAGCTTCCCTAGTAGCTGGGATAACAGGCATGTGCCACCATGCACAGCTAATTTTGTGTTTTTAGTAGAGGCGGGGTTTCTCCATGTTGGTCAGGCTGGTCTTGAACTCCCAATCTTAGGTGATCCACCTGCCTCGGCCTTCCGAAGTGTTGGGATTACAGGCGTGAGTCACCACGCCTGGCTTGATAATATTGTTTTTCTAATGGTGTGTGTTCTTTATTTAAAAAAAAAAAAAAAATCCAGCAGATGAAACTTGAAAATATGTCTTTATAAAAACTAAAATGCGGTATTTTCTCCATAGGTAAGATTGATAACAGCAAAACGAAGGATCTGTATCGCAGCCTGATAAACATCTTTGACAAACTCCTGTTGCCCACCCATGCCTCCTGCCATGTACAGTTTTTAATGTTTTACCTCTGTAGCTTCAAATTGGTGAGTAAGAATGCCATTAACATTCTCTTAGCTTATTTTGTTCTTGCCCGCAATTTTTCCCTAAAAACTGGGGTGGACAGAGACCCATGAGGTAAGTAATTATTTTCCTTGAGCTTACTTGCTTGTCCCCTTAATAAAATCACATTCTCTTTTCTTTGTTTTTTTCTTTTCTGTTTTGAGACACAGTCTCGCTCTGCTGCCCACTGCTGCAACCTTCACCTCCTGGACTCAAAACAGTTATCAGGCCTCAGCCTCCCGGGTAGCTGGGACCACAGGTTACCACACCTGGCTAATTTTTTGTATTTTTAATAGAGTCGGGGTTTCACCATGTTGGCCAGGCTGGTCTCGAGCTCCGAACTTCAGGTGATCCACCCACCTCCTGCCCCCTAAAGTGCTGGGATTACAGGCATGAACCACTGTGCCTGGCCCACGTTCCCTTCTCAGTACACTTGGAGAGAAAACAGAATTGCTGCCTGCCCGCCTAGCTTGGTGCTGCGAAAATGTCATCCTGCCTTTTGGTCACTAGGTGGAGCCCTTTCCTTAAGTCTTAAAATCTCATAGGGGGTAATTAACTGTATTACCTTTGTTCTTTTCAAGGGTTGAGTTGTAGTTACCCCAAATCAACTTTCTAATCTAGAGTTTTAAAACTTTAGGCTTTCGCTTTTTTTGTTATTGTTGGGGAAGGCTCTTCCTTCTCTGCAACGATTTTGTGGCTTTGTAGAGGTTAGGAGAATGCTTGTCATGGGAAAGAAGGTTGAACTTAGTCTGCCCACATGGACATGCCTAGCTTCAGAAAAGCGCTATTTGGGAGAAGTTGGAAGTTACACCCTTTACTAAGAAGCTGTGTCTGTTTTTTTCCATGATTGACATAATTACTCAAATACCAGCGGTACTTTAGACCGTATTTCTGTTGATGGTTGATTTAGAGTGTGCAGAGACAGGAAGGGTGCTTCGTGCTCATGGGAATGCCCATGTGGAGCTCCGTGGGGTGTGAGTTATTGTTGGTCACAAGTTCTGGCTGACATTGGAATCACGTGAAGAGCTTTTATAATATGCGGATTCCAAAACCCTGTCACAAACCTATTGAATTTGTACCTTCCCAGCTTTTTTTTTTTTAAGATGGTGTCTCGCTCTGTTGCCCAGCCTAGAGTGCAGTGCTGTGATCTTAGCTCACTGCAGTCCCTGCCTCCCAGGTTCTAGCGATTCTCCTGCCTTGGCCACCCAAGTGGCTGGGATTACAGGCACCTGCCACCACGCCTGGCTAATTTTTGTATTTGTAGTAGAGATGGAGTTTCACTATGTTGGCCAGGCTGGTCTCAAACTCCTAACCTCAGGTGTGAGCTGCCGCACCGGCCACGGGTTGATTTGTTTGGGATCCACTGGATTATTTAACACCTGAGATGCCTTTTGTTTTTAATAGTATTCTCTCAAAGTGTTTAAAAAATGAAGACCATGAAGTACTCGTGAGATATTGGAACTTTTCCCCACATTGGTGAAGTAAAAATCTTAGGATTTTGATAGCCATATTATCTTAGGCATTAAAAAAAGATTACACCGACACATTCTCTTTTTATAGGGATTTGCAGAGGCATTTCTGGAACATCTCTGGAAAAAATTACAGGATCCAAGTAATCCTGCCATCATCAGGCAGGCTGCTGGAAATTATATCGGAAGCTTTTTGGCAAGAGCTAAATTTATTCCTCTTATGTAAGTAGCCTAATTTTTCAAGTACTTTTTAATATCATGCTTTAAAAAGAGTGTAGCATTGTCTCAAGTCAAAAATATCTGCCTTATTTTTTTGGTATGATTTTTTAAGTGAATAAAATCCCCACTCCGTGCAAGATGTTTATATTTCTAAGCAGCGATTTTAGAATAAAGTGTCTCTTTTTTTATATATGTGAAACCCCATATGTAAGGCTTTTATCATCTGTTCTGTGTGGTTGCATTTGAAGATCCATTTGTTTTTGTGGCTAGAGGACAGTATTGTATTCTGTTTTGATTCTTTTTGTAGGTTTGTCATTTTTTCATTTACATTCCGAATCTATTGTATCTGATAAAACTGAAGAAAAAGCCTTTTAAAGGTAATAGACCTATCTAAGAAGCCGGTTTCTTCCAGTAGTCCATGCAGGTATCTTTGGACAAGGATGCTGTTGAAATCCTTCACCAATCACAAAATCATTGACCATAGGGCTTCACTAGGCTCCATCAGGGAATACTAAAGTCCACCAGACTGTCTTTCTCTTAGGAGATGTTGGTGAACCTGTCCTGTTTGGCCAATCACCCTAAGAGGGCTGCTTTTGAGCTGGTTAGGAGAACCTGCCTTCCATCCCTTGGGACGTTCTTAGGGGCTCACCTGTTCCTAGAAGGTCAGAGCTACTCTGCCTTGTAACTGGAAGGTTGTCTTCCTACAAACCCATCCTTATGCTTCCTTTGTTTGCTTTTCCTTTGTGTCCGTGGGTATTATTTAAATAATCCTATGAACTTACTTAGTGTGGTTTGTAATGAAAGGCAGTTGTGTGTTATGTTATTCTGTTTTTTTTTTTGTTTTTTGTTTTTTTTAATGAAGTGTGAAGTTGACGTGAATTTTTCTTTTCTCTAGTACTGTAAAATCATGCCTAGATCTTTTGGTTAACTGGCTGCACATATACCTTCATAACCAGGATTCAGGAACAAAGGCATTCTGCGACGTTGCTCTCCATGGACCATTTTACTCAGCCTGCCAAGCTGTGTTCTACACCTTTGTTTTTAGACACAAGCAGCTTTTGAGTGGAAACCTGAAAGAAGGTCAGTGTTGTGGGAGTGCTGGACTGGATTTTCCTTGTTCTTGTCACTCTTTAGAATGGTGATTCTTTACTCTTTTGGAGATTTTAATAAAAACTATGGATTCAGAAAAATGCATGTACACTCAAACTTTTAACAGTAATTTCAAGCACCTCATACTCCCCTACAAACCCCTTAAGATAGATTTGAGCTTGAGAACCCTACAGACCCCTCAGGATGAATTTGAGTTTAAGAAAGAGGTTTCTGCTTTTGAGGGTTTGAAATGTGAAGACGTCTCCAGAGGCAAGGCTGAGCCCTGGGCTGTGCCAGCACCCTGTACAAAGCTGCAGGTGGATGCACCCTCTCTTTGTTGTCCTTGTAACAGCCCAGTAAATGGCACATATTCTCCTTTCACAGACAGCAAAGCAGAGGGCAGTCATTTTCCCAAGATCACATAGTTACTGGCAAGATGAGAAACTGAAGCCAGGTTCGGCTGACTGGAAAGTTTGGGCTTATTCAGATTCAGCTCTTCCTGAAGCCTTGAGATTTCATTGAGCAGTATTTTTTGCTAATTTCCAAGAGTTATTTATAATTCATATCTATCAGTTGAAACTTGTTTACATTAGATTAGTATATTTTAGTTGAAGAGAGTCTCCAAGAACGTAGTTTAGAAGTCATTGTAAATTGTTTTGTTGATGTTTATGAATATTTCACGTGGTTTAGGGCCACTGTCTCTAAACCAGTGCTCAGCCTCGCACAGTTGACGTTTGGGCTGCATCATCCTTCATCATTGGGGGCTATTGTCTGCCCTGGAGGATGTTGAACAGCCTCCACCTATTAGCTGCTAACTGCAGTCCTGACCACCCCCAGTCGTGACAGCAAAAACTCTCTTCAGACACTGCCACGTGTCCTCTGTGGGGTCACAGTCCCCTTGGGTTAACAGCCCGAGCTCTGAACTGAAAGTTGTATGTGTTGCATAATAAACATTCATCTACATCCTGCATGCTCCTAAAAAGATACGTATAGACCAGTAGGACAAGGTTTTATCACAAAGTAAGTATCTCTGCTGGCCTTTGTATAAATTAATGCCAGGAATCTGAAGTAAAGACATCATTTTTTTTAAGCTGTGACATCCCATTTACATAATTTTTATCAAAATATGCATCAGACAAACTCCTAAGAACATATTCTTAAGTACAAGTTGGTCAGCTTGCCTCTGAAAATAAATGAAGTGTCTTTCTTTTAGTCATGTAGGAGAGAATTGTGTTCATTAATTCTGAGAAAGGTTTCTGTCTAAATTTGCCTTCCACAGAGGTAGAGGCAAATTTAGTTTCTTGTTTAGAAAAATAAAAACTACAAATAACTACTGTGCACCCGAAAACAGTGCTCAGCCTCACTAACAACTTAAGACACACAAGCTAGAATCAAATTGCTGTTCTGTTTTGTTGCCTGTCGATTGTTAGCTGAAACCAAATCATAAGGTCTTTTTCCCCCTCTGTATAAACTCAGCATACACTGAGCTTACAAACATATGAACTTCACATCGTCATGTAGTGTCACAGCCTGCTACTTCCTGAGTGTTCTTTAGTGAAGCCGCCTTGGTGATCAATGAATGTGGTTAGACTAGTCACACTCTTCTGGGCCATACACTATGTGACTGTTTGTCTGCATGGACCTTCATTTAAAGCATTTCTGCAAATAATTTTTTTAAGTTTTTTTTTTAATGTGTGTGAATTTATGGTTTTAAAGATATCTTACATTTTTCTCTTATATTTGTACCTAAAAAAATTTTTTTTTAATTAAAGGTTTGCAGTATCTTCAGAGTCTGAATTTTGAGCGGATAGTGATGAGCCAGCTAAATCCCCTGAAGATTTGCCTGCCATCGGTGGTTAACTTTTTTGCTGCAATCACAAAGTAAGTTATTTAACGCTTTCTTGATGGGAATTATTTAAAATATTTATGTTTATCTGGTATTGTAAGGTTCCATTAAATTTCTTGGAAATCGGTAACATTAAAAACCAGGCGTGGTGGCTGTTGCCTGTAATCTCAACATGTTGGGAGGCTGAGGTGGGAGGATTGCTTGAGGCCAGGAGTTCAAGACCAGCCTGAGCAACATCATGAGATCCTGTCTCTGCAAAAAAAATTTTGTAATTAGCTGGGGATGGTGTCATGTGCCTGTAGTCCCAACTATTCAGGAGGGTGAGGTGGGAGGATCACTTGAGCCCAGGAGGTCAAGGAGGCTGTGAGCCCTGAATGTGCCACTGCACTCCAGTGTCGGCTGCAGAACGAGACCCTGTTTCTTAAACAAACAAAAACAGCCAAGCCCTTGCAGGAAATACTGTAATACAGCTATTGTTTAGTTTTTGAGACAGAGTCTCACTCTGTCACCAGGCTGGAGTGCAGTGGCACCATCTTGGCTCACTATGACCTCCGCCCCCCAGGTTCAAGCGATTCTCCAGCCTCCCAAGTAGCTGCGACTACAGGCACCCATCACCACACCCAGCTATTTTTGTATTTTTAGTAGAGATGGCGTTTCACCATGTTAGCTAGGATGGAGAAATTGCTACTTCTTATCCAAGGGCATAATTCAGCAGAAGCCTAGGCACTTTGAAATAAGTAAGGCAACAAGTTAGCTGAGAAGGGCAAAGCCATAGATGCTTATTGGAGTGACTCCTGTAATAGTAATAGAAATCAGCTGGAAGTGAGGTAGATGCTGGCCAGTAGGAGAGTGGTTTCGAGAGTACCGTTCTCTCAGGTCTGGTAGCCATGGCTAATACATAGCCTTTCCTCTGTGCCAGGCAGTTCTAAGCACTTTACCTAGAGCTCATTTGATCCTCAAACAGCCCTCTAGGATGAAACCCTGTTTATCCATGGAGAGGTGAATGTACAAAGAGGTAAAATAACTTGCCTAAAGTCATAAAGCCGGACTGGCAGCAGATTCAAATGTAGTCTGGCTCCTTTGTAAGCTTTCACTAAGTTATTCTGCTTTACGGAGAAAGCGAATTGGAGAATTGAGTATTTAATGAGGATAGTCAGGCGTGTTATAGCTTACAATCTTCAACAAGTCAGAGCCGGAGGTTGCCAAGCTCCTTCACCCTCTTTAGTTCTCCTTTGCTGGGCATCTGGGTCAAGGTATCTTCTCTTGTGAGATCTCAACAGTGATAGTAAAGGATTAGGAAAAGGCTTAAAGAGACCAGCAGGCAACGGCAGTGAGTGGGTGGAGGCTTCAGCACATTGGTTAAGATGGTGAGCAGCTCGAAGAGTAAGGTCGGAAGAAGCAAACGCAGCTGCCCCTAGTATATTCTCAGGGTGGGGACAGAGGGCTGCATTTGTGAACCAACTGGTCCGGGAGCTCTCGATTTGAGGTTGGCATGTGCATTGGAGGCACACTGCGATACGAGACTAAGAGTAAGGTCTGTGCCTAGGTACAGATATGGCAAATAAAGGTGTGTACCATTCTGTAGCTGTTGATTTTGCCTGCTTGATGATTTTGAGATTCAACCATATTGACACAAAGCTTAAATTTGATTATAACTGCTGTGTAATTTTCTGCGAATCTTTCTTATTGAGTCTTTGTTGGGATTTTAGCTGTTAGTTTTTGTTTTTGTTTTGTTTTGTGTTTGAGACAAGGTCTTGCCCTGTTGCCCAGGCTGGATTGCAGTGGTGCAATCTCGGCTCACTGCAACCTCCACCTCTTGCGTTCAAGTGATTTTCCTTTCTCAGCCCCCCTAGTAGCTGGGAATACAGGTGCCCACCAGCACGCCCAGCTAATTTTTGTATTTTTAGTAGAGACAGGGTTTCACCATGTTGGCCAGGCTGGTCTCAAACTCCTGAGCTCAAGTGAACTGCCTCCCTCAGCCTCCCATAGTACTGGGATTACAGGCATGAGCCACCTCGCTCAGCTGGCTGTGTTAAGTGTTTTAGTGCTCAGGAACATTCTTGTTTGAGTGTCCTGGTGTGTGGGTACATGCTTCCTTGTCACATACCCGGAAGCATGGTTGGCTATGGGGCTGTAGGAGATGCAGATCTTCAGCTTTACCCGTTAGTGCAAACCGCCCTCCAGTGTCGTTCTGCTGATGTGTCCTCCACCAGGAGGAGCGGTGAGGGGTTAAGTGCTGCGAGCCTCAGTAATGGGGCAGAAATCCAAGTATGTGGCTTGAAGTTGCCATAGTGACCTGAGAACCTGAGGTGGAGAGTGACAGAAGTGAGATCTAAATTCTTGTCTTGGAGAAGCTGTTTAATAAATGATTTTTCTTTTTTTTTTTTT